CGGACGATCCCTCGTCTGTCTTTTCCCCACAATCCTGTTTACCCGTGTAATAGAGGATGCGATCAACTAACACTTAACTTTTAACTTTGCCCTTTTCAGGAGACGACGGTAAGTCTTTATCCCCCATCCAATCGCATTCTCAGGAAACAGGCGAGTTTCCCATCCCTTCCCCCCCTAGCGAAGGACCGGAGGACACTCCCGAAAGGGACTTGCCGAGCGTCCTGGGAAATGCGTTCTCGTCTCCGAGGTAACGGCGAAACGGAGACTAGGGCGAATCTCCCACCAAAGTAATCGTGTAGAACGGTAACGTTCTGGCTTCCCGGAGAGGGGACTGACTGAAATGTAGGTACTACCCCAACGATGGGGTCCCCCCCTCTTCATATAAGCCACGCTATTGCGACATGCTCAGGAGTTTTAGTGGGTATGGTTCCCGGTTAGGCCTTCTTTCGAATCCCATACCGAGCCCCACACTCCCTCTTCGGAGGGGTTGTGCGTAACTTGCATTTCTCCTGAGATATCAAAAAAAAAAAAAAAAAGTTGCATAACAAGCAATTTGTGTATTGCTGATTGCATAACACATATATTTCAAAGTACTCTCGGTTGCCTAACCGGAATTTTTAGGCGTTTCTCCAGTAGTCTGTTGCCTGCGCGGGTGCGTGTGCGTGTGAGTGTTTTTTGTTCTCATCCCCTCGACTGAAGGCCTCATTCCACCCCCTGCTGCAATGACGAAAACCATGCCGAAGCCTGCGTCGGCCGGTGAAGGGACAAAAACATTGAGAACGGGTTCGGGAACTGACTCGGTTTCGGGTTCGCGTTCGATCATAGATTCGGGTGCGGTTCCGTCCAGGGGAGGGCGGATGGTCGACATGTTGGTCGACGAGGAGGGTTGCCCGGGGGGAGACCTGGGGTGTTTGAGTAGGGATCTGAAGGGCATAGTTATATCCTCTAGACCGAAGGGGCGTCCGCGGCTGGAGGAGCGCGGTAGGGCGGAGGAGGAGGCCATGGTTCTTCTCCAGGCAGCCAAGTACGCGGAGAGGAAGGAGAGCTGCTGCGGAGGAGGCCGTGTTCCGCCTCCCCGTGATCAGGAAGGGGGGTTTGGCTCGCCTGGAGAGTGGCGAGATCACCGATGCGGCGGTGAACGCGGCTCGCTGCGTTCTCTCGGCCGTTCGGGGGTCTTCAAACCTGAAGGACGGGGTGGCGTTCGTCATGGCGACCGTCCGGGAGCTCGCGGCGAGAGTCGCGGACTCCGAGGGTGGCGCCCGCGTGGCGGCGCTGAAGAAATAACTCGCTCTGGCTCGGAGCCAGATCGAAAAATTAAAGAATGGGGAAAAACGGGAGGAGGAGAACCGGGCCTCTTCTGGAACGGGGGAAAGGGCGGGCGCGCAAAAGACGGCTGTGCCAGAAGTCAACGCAAACGCGAGGTAGGTGACGGCGTCCCGGGACGCGGCCACCTCACCTATGGCGCTGCGACCCGAGAGGTCGTTTATGCCGACGTTTGCGTCGGTGGCGAAGGCGAAAAAGAAAAAGCCATCGAGCGGCGCCAGCGGCGACGGCTCCGTCGCAGTGCGGCCGCGAAAGGGGGGAAAGTGTGCAAAACGAGTCGCTGCAGGTGAGAGGAAAAAAATCGATAAATCCGCTCCTGCTCCCTCCCGTAAGGAGGTGCAGGAGTACACCATGTCCCAGGGGAAAAAGCCGAAGTCGGATCCGGCTGCCGCTTCAGCACGAAATCAGTGGTATTGATCAGGAAGGAGGGTACTAAATCCTTCGCGGAGGTCTTGGCCGCCGCGACGGATCGCGTAGATTTGGCAAAGTTAGGAATCGACTCTTTTAGGTCCGCGAACGGGGGGACGGTGTTCAAAATCAAGGGGGAAAACAGGGCGGCCAAGGCGGCGGAACTGGCCGCGGAGCTTTCGAAGGAGGTGGGGCCGATGTGTCCCGCGAGAAGGGTCGACTTCCGCGTCGAGGGTTTCTGCGAGTCCGCGACGTCGCACGACTTCGCTCTCGCGTTGTGAAGGGCAGGCGGATGTCATATCTCCGACGTTTTGGTGCGTCCTCCGATCGGAGGGGGCGCACGACCGCGACTGGGGTTTGTGTCCGTTCCCGCGGCCGCCGCGTCCGTCCTCCCCCCGAGCGTATATGTTCGTCTATTCTGGACGCGATCACGCGCTCGAACAACTTGCCCTCTAGGGCGAGAAGACAAATCGGCCGATACACGCTCGGCGTCGTCGGATCTCTACCCGGTTTGTCTAGCAGCACTAGGTAGCTTCCTTTCACGGTGTCGGAAGTGTCTCGGAAACACGCTGTGTAGATCGCGAAGAGAGGCGCACACAGCACCCCGGCGGACTCGCCGAGAATGCACGCCGTTCGGTTCCGGAGACGAGTGCCTCTTCGAGGTCGCGTCGAGGAAGAGGCGAACCTCCCCTTCTGTCACTGCGGTGTCGCGATTTTCGTCGTAAGGGAAATCCGTCGGAGGAAACGCGAACGGTTCGACGCGAGGGAAGAGCTTTGCGATAACTTTTGCGAGAAACTCCTTCGTCATACTGGCCGTCAGCGGTCCCGACGAACCCCTCAGCTTGATCACGAGACGGAACGGAAGACGCCACAGATCCGAATCCACTTCGCTCAAAAGCTCCTTTCAACACACCTCCTTGGAACTCCATATCGCTCGTCGGACCCGGACCCGGGAAGCCCTCCACTCCGCTTTTAAACGCGCGAGTTCGTTGTCACTCACGATGTCCTCATAGCGTCCTCCCCGCCTGATCAGTTGTCTTTTTTTGCCGACGAACCGGCGACGTGCGAGGCAGGACTCCCTCCACAACTCTCCGACCTCGCTGTCCACTTCGCCCGTTTCCGCGTCTTCGAGCGCGAACTGACCCTCTTCATGCAGGAGTCCGAGATCCGTCGTAAGTCGCTCCGGACTCCCCGAGCCTTGTTGTGCACGCTTCTTCTCGTGCCCGGAGCAACTTCATCTCTTCAGGCCTCCGCGGCAAGTCCGAACGATTTCAGACTCCACTGGGGCGGGACGACGCGAGGCCCGTCGGACGAGCAAACTGCCCTCCCCCCAAGATCTGAGGAGCCCCAAACGAGAACGCCACGTAGGCGTGATCGCTCAGGCACTCGAAGTCGGAGAGGACCTCCCAGCCGGAGACCCGCGCCGTCGCCGCTCCGTCCGAAACCGTAAAATTGATCGTGGACCCTCCGGTGGACCGCACGCACGTCTTCTCTTCTTTATTATTGCACACGATGAACTGACGCTCGTTCAGCCACTGTCTGAGCAGTCGGCCACAACGAACGATTTGGTGACGCGTAAACCGAAACCAGAACCGAGTTTCCCAACCTGCTATGACAAAATCTTCCCCGCGGGACAATTCCCGGTGTCTCGGACCCAGTGCTGAGCTCGAAAAGAAGATCGTGGCCACGCCGACCTCGGATACAAACCAAGTACGGGCGCGAAAACCCTCTCCTCCCGACGGAACGACGTAAGGCTCCGGACCATCGGGACCTCGACGCACCACGTCCCTATCAAGTTTAGTAAAAGGTTTTGAGCCCCCCTGCACCTGTTTAAATTGACCGACTGAAATTGAAATTGAGAACTACCGGCAGAGCCGTTCGTTCTCGGCTGGCACGCGGAGGTTCCCCAACGAGGTTCTCCTAACGTTTCCCCCCATCCTACCAGTTTCGGTTCCCCAACAAAAGGGCGTAACCTTGACGGCCGGCACCCCGCAAGAATACTCTCCGAGCCAGTGTTGAGCCGGCCGGCCGGCCGGCCTCCCAACAAGGAGCGCAACGGACTCTTTTTGCACATTCACGCGCCCGGTTCCCCTCTCCTCTGCGCCTGAGGCAGCGATCCCGCGCCGTTACCCCCCAACCCTGACTTTGCGACAACGTGAGCCTATCGTGCGCAGTCGACTCTTCTCGCGGGACACGTGACCGTGACCCCCATCGGTCCTGCGACGCTTCCGATTCTTGCGGCCAGTTCCGCCGCCTTGGCCGCCAACAACTCATTTAACAATTTAAATTATTATTATCATCATTCTCATCGTGAGATGGTATCAGGAAAAGGTCAAAAGAAAAATGGAGGGAAAGGAAGGGGGCGGGAAAATAAAAAAAAAATAAAAAAACTTTTAAATTGAGATCAATCAATAGTAACATTCATATATTTTTATTTATTTATTTATTTATTCAATATATAATATATTTAATAACATTCTAATAAAAATATCAAATTAACAATAAAGCTTTGAGCCATTTTTATTTATTTATTTATTTTGTTTTTAAACAAACAACAATTAACTACACGTATTTAACATACATACATATACGTATATATATGCATAATCCATATATGAAATAATCGTTGGCGGTTTTTTTTTTTTTTTCATTCGTCGATATTGCCAACCGTTGAAATAAAAAATAACGAATGCACATATCATTATAATTTTTTTCTAAATTAATTTCCATTTATTTATTATTATTATTATTACTATTCGTGTAATGACAAAGAAATTAAAAAAAAAAAAAAAAAAAAAACATTTAATTTCGAGGAATTAAAACGACGTCAAAGTGAATTTTTGTTAGAAAAACGTTGCGTCACGTGAAAACCTTATTTCTTTCTTTTTCTTTTTAAAAGTTTTTACGTAACGCACGGGAGATCGTCATCGTCGTCGTCGTCGTCGTCGCCGCCGCATAATAATCATGATGATAATAGTGATGACGACGACGATGGTGATAATAATAATAATAATAATAATGCGTCGTCTATTCTTTTTTTAAAGACAAAACCTAAAAAGAAAAACCATATCGAATCAAAGGAGACATGGAAAGTTATTATTTACAGTAGAAACAGGGAAAGAGAGAGAGAGAGTGAGAGGAAAATAGGAGAGGAAACAATTCGGCAAATTTAAGCTTTACTTGTTTTCACCCAATCGGAAACGGAAGAGCGCTGTCACGTGACGGATGGTGTATCACGTGATTAGTATTTATTCGCAAAAAAAAAAAATTTAAAACGCGTTTATCATGACGTAGATGACGATGACGACGACGACGACGACGACGACGTCGTTGATGATGGCATCGATGTTTATGACGGGTGTCGGATTTGTTCTTTTTTCTTTTTCTTTCACATCGTTCACGATTGCCTCAAACGGTGACTGTGTAAAATTGTTTTTATTTCCTAAAAATACAAAAAAAAAAAAAAATTGAAAATTTTGTAAAAAGATAATGATGATGATGATATTAACTTACTTGTTTTCTTGTGCTGTCGACTAGGACGGAAGGTACGCAACCGTTAATGTTTTTCAATTGTATCATGCCTCCGTGCCAGAGCAAAAGCCTTATCAGGTCTTTCTGATGTTGTAAACTTAACGTGTTTCGGCCGCAGGATAAATGAAGGACCGTGTTACCCTGCCTGTTGGGTACGGCCGTTGGAGGTAGGTTGTTTCCGCTTATGTTCGATATGACACACCTGTTTTCTAATATGATACGCATTAGATCTAAATCGCACGATTCGTTAACGAGTACGTGCAACGGAGTATTTTCATCTTTGTAATCCTGCAACAAACGCAAAAAAAAAAAAAAAAAAAAAAAAACAGACAACAATTAGAGAACGTGATGACAAAGGGTTTATTATTATTATTATTATGGTCAAAATATATTACTTTCAAAGAACAATCCGCTCCATTTTTCATTAGGACCTTAACCGTTTGATAAGAATGCAAAACGTTGGTCTTATGTTGTTCGCATGCAACGTGAAGCGGAGTGAATCCCCTGTTGTTTTTTTTATTTACATCGAACGCCATCTTGTTACAATTATTATTGAGCTTGAGTAAATTTTCTAAAATTTTCACGTGACTGTCGCCACGTTGAGCCAAATGATGAAGTATCGTATTTCCACCGTCGTATTTCTACAGAGAAAAAAAAATAAAAAAAATTAACGATCATTAAACCCCCCCCTTCCGATCCCGCCGAATTAAACGTGTCAGGAGACATTCGAATTTACTTTGTTCACGTCTTGTCCTCCTCTAATCAAAGCTTCTCCAATGTAACTTGCTAACAGTGGTTCCCTAACTAATTTACACGATGCCAAATAAAAAGCATCTTGATTTAATTCGTTTCTACAAGACAGGTACTCGGGATTTTCTTTTAACAACCTTTCGACTATGACGTACACGTATTCGAGAGTCATTTTATCGGAAACGAGGAGTATCATGAGCTGCCTGGAAAAAACAAAAAAAAATTCCGATCGAATCGAGGAAAGTGATTCTGAAAACTTTTTCATATTCGTGACACGTCACGTCAAAAACTCACGTGTCTCCTTCTTCGTCACCCTTTCCTAATAAATCAATGTCGAGTTGGTTGATTCGAGCCCAAGCGTTTTCTTTAGCCTTCGGATCGAGTTTGGCATTGAGAGCATCTCTTTCCGTATAAATGATCGTTGCGGACGAAGACGACGATGATGAGAACGATGAGAAAGATGAGAAAGATGGCGATGTCGGTGTCGTCGGCGGAGGAGGTTCCGTATGAGTATCGCAAACGTTTGCAAATTGATTTAAGTCTATTGTACTTTCGTAGGGATCTTCGGCGAGGTTCAACATGACCGTGCCTATGTTCGGTACGGAATCCGGTGATCCCGCCGTCATTTCCGAACTTTTATACCCGTCGTCTGGTTTTATGTTGAAGTCGTGTACGGCGTTTGAGCAATGAGCGTTGTTTTTGTTGTTTCCGTTCACGTTCGTCGGTATAGACTCGTTATTAATGTTTCTATACTTGTCATCGCCGTCGGCTTTAATTGTGATCGAATCGAGAGAGGGTATCCTCGGAGACTTTGTGAAATACAGAGAATTTTCCTCGCACGTCACCGATTCCGGACTAGTGAGACTTCTTTCGGATGGACTCTGAGCCGGAGACGTGAACTGACTAGAAACACTTGCACACGTGTTCCTACCACCACCACCACCACCACCACCACTACTACTACTACTACTACTACTACTGCTACTGCTACTATTAAACCTATGCTCGTAGAAATTCGACAGAGTCGTCAATGAATTTGTCATTTCTTTTTTGCTTAACTCGCTTTGACAGTCTTGTACGAAATCGTTTAGAAGTTTCGGATCTTTTTTACAAAGGTTCAACCATAGATTAATGTCGCATAAATCAACGTCGCTCACGTGGTGGTGGTGAAGGTGGTTGAGGTGGTTGTGACCCGACCCGACGGCGACGTTCTGAGATTGCAAAGACGAATATATGCGTTTGTACAATGACGAGGTATTCGTTCTGTCTGGTTCCACGACTCTTGTCACGCCGTTGCAAACTTTCGATATTGCGTACGGATAATCGTTTGATTTTGTACTTCCGTGAGAATAATCTTGATGGTGGTGGTGATGGTTCCTCATCGGACTCCTCGATATCAAGTCCGATACTTCGTCGTAATTCAAACGACATTTTTCTTTTTGTATTTTCAATAGGCTGACTAAAGAAATGAGAAGTTTTTCGCTTTCATCGTCCGATACCGTTTTATCTCTGTAACAAGATACGTATATAAAAAATTATTTATATTGTTTCTAATGTCACGATAATAAATAAAACAATTATTTTTTCTTTTTTTTTTGGGGGGGGAGGGGGGAGTTCATTAACCGGTAAAAGAAAATTTTTTTTCATTTTTTTTTTTTTTTTTCGCTGAAGATACGAAAGTTTAAAAATACAAATAAAAAACCGAGATTTAAACTTTTTTTTAAAATCAGTACCGAATTAAGTAAACGAATCGTCGTAATTTAATTCTTCACCCCATCCGCCATCTTGTTTTCCTCTTATTTTCTTCTACGCAAAAAATTTTTTTTTTCACTTTATACAAATCACGAATAATAATAATAATAATACTACATCATTAAAAAAAAAAAAAACGCGATCGATGTCGAACGTCAAAGACAATTTATCATTTTATTGACACGTTAAAAAAAAAAAAAAAACCCACGCGATCATTACATTGTCGTTTTGATAAATACCAACCCGAAAACAAAAAAACAAAAACAAAAAAAAAAACGTGGAATCAGAGAACAACAAAAAAAAAAAAATAAAAGAAAATAAAATAAAAAGGGGGGCCACCAACTTTAGTTTTTCCATTTGAATTTGTCCCTTGACGTTTCCTTCGTTTTTCTTCTTTAATTTTCCATCATCATTATCATTATCATCATTGAAAGGAACATTTTCGCATTTGAATACGATTTCGTAGGACGATGAAGATTTTTTCTTATTGTTGCTATTGCTACCATTGAATACATATTCAACCCTCATTTCGTAAACCTGAAACAATCAAAAAAAACAAAAAGTCATAAAGAGAGAGAAAGAGATAGATAGAGAGAGAGAGAGAGAGAGAGTGAAAGTGAGAGAGATGAACGAGGATATGAGCGAGGAGATGGGGGAGGAGGAGGAGGAGGATTTCATCCCATTATTCATCCACCGTGAGCAAATCACATTCGTGACAAATTTTTATCAAATTCACGCGACACGCACATGCGGTATGCATGCGTGTGCATAAGTAAAAAGAGAGAAAGGGGAGGAGAGAGAGAGAGAGAGAGAGAGAAACGAAAATTAATTTTAACCCAGTTTTTCGTCATTTTTTTTTTTTTTTTTAAGGTTAACCTTGTCGATTTTTGTATCATTGACACGGAATGAAAAATATAAAATAAAATAAATAAAAAAACCTTCCGCCGCACCTTATTTTTTTTCGCAAAATTTTTTTCCTTTTCTAATTCGCGAGCGCGCACGCACTCACACACTCCCACACGCACTCACGCATTAGACAAGCAATAATATAATTTGTTTGTCATTGAATTTTTAATTAATTTTTATTTTCGTCGGATACTCAATTTTTTTTTTTTTTATTAAATTTTCCTCGAACAAAGTCATCGATTAAATAACATACATAAATAAATAAATAAATAAATAAATTTTTATTAGAATAACCGATACGCACGCACTCACGCACCCGTAGAACTTTCTATATTCCTCCTCGCGATTGATAATTTAAATTTTTCCACAAATCATACATTGAATTTTTTGCCAATTTTTTTTTTGTGACACAAGGTTAAAAATACCCGAAAGGTGAAAACACATAAACATATATATATATATATATATATATATTTTTTATCTATTGACACGATAAATAACTATTCCGTCCCTTTTGTTATTATGAGGTCAATATTATAATAATTAATTTCTTTTTTTTTTTTTTTTTTGGCAATCGAAACCGTTCATAAAGTTATCTGATGCAGTTATCTGGTGGCGATAACGATGGCGGTGGCGGCGGTGGCGGATGCAAAAATTTATTATTATGAGATTTTTTTATTTGTAATTTTTTTCTTTTTCCCGCCAAATATTTCATCATTACCGGACGTCAATTGTGTCGATAAAAAAAAATACGTTTCGAACCGGAAATTTCGAGAAAAAAAAAAAAAAAACCCGGGTGATTTACACGTCATGACCTTTTTCCATTGCGATTACGATGAGTATGATAATGATAACGATAAATTCGACGACAAAATTTTCCCACGGGACGGGAACGAAAAAGAGGGAGAGAGGGAGGAGGGTCAACGACCCAAAAATATCAAATTTTTTTATATTCGTAAAAAAAAAGGAATTTATGAATTTTAATTTTTTTACGGAGTTACGCACAAATTTCCCTTCTTTTTTTTTTTCATTCAACCGGAAGTTCGAAAAAAAAAAAAAATTTTAACTTCCGCTCTGTTAAATTTTCTATTTAAAAAAAAAAAAAATTTATTTTCTTCGAGAGCGCGACGGGGAAGGAGGGGGAGAGGGAAAAACAAACAAACAAATGAATAAATAAAATGACGGGAAAATTATTTTCATTCTTTTTTTTTTTTTTTTTATTCGCCGCCACCGCCACCACCGCCGGCGTCGCCGTCGCCGTCGTCTTCTGCTTTTTTTTCACCTTTATCATCGTTATCATGGCATCACTTTGATCGTTTTCTTTATTTTTATTATAATAAAAAAAAAATTATTCGATGGAAAACCTGATATTTTAAATAAAAAAAAAAAAATTTATCATGACTCGCCCAAAGACTCATTTATAAAACGTTAAATTTTATTATTATTATTATTATTATTAATGATTATGATGATAATAATGATAATGATAATGATAATAATTACCTTGAGGATGTTGCAGGAAATTTAAATTTTAATATGGACTCCTTTTTTTTTTTTTTTTTTCTTGAAATATTTTACAAGAGAAACAAAAATGTCAACAGTTTAAAAATTACGCGCACGCACACGCGTACACACGGACACGCAAAAAAAAATAAATAAATAAATAATAACTCCAGGAAATGAATATAAATTAAGTTAAATTTTTAAATGATCGGGCAATTAAAGTTTTTTTTTTCTTGAGGGGAGCTTACAAGACCCCCAGTTATGTAAAAAAAAAAAAAAAATTTAATCGACACACTTTACTTGAAAAATTTTTTGGAAAATTTTTAGAGCGTGTAAAAAATTTATATAAAAAACAAATTATGTTTTATTTCTTTTTCTCTCTCTTTTCCTCTTTCTTTTTTCCCTGTCTCCCTCTCTCTCTCTCTTTCTCTCTTTCCCTCTCTCTTTCTCTCTTTTCCTCTCTCTCTCTCTCTTTTCCTCTCTCTCTCTCTCTTTTCCTCTCTCTCTCTCTCTTTTCCTCTCTCTCTCTCTCTCTCTTTTCCTCTCTCTCTCTCTCTTTTCCTCTCTCTCTCTCTCTCTCTTTTCCTCTCTCTCTCTCTCTCTCTCTTTTCCTCTCTCTCTCTCTCTCTTTTCCTCTCTCTCTCTCTTTTCCTCTCTCTCTCTCTCTCTCTCTCTCTCTTTTCCTCTCTCTCTCTCTTTTCCTCTCTCTCTCTCTTTTCCTCTCTCTCTCTCTCTCTTTTCCTCTCTCTCTTTCTGTTTGTTAATCTCCAAAAAATTTTTTTTTCGTGATCCCTAACAAAAAAGGAAAAAAAAAAAAAACTTGTTTCGAATTACGCCAACGGATTTTCTCTTAACGTAACCAGGATGTTCATCACAAAAGCGTAAAAACCGTAAAAAAAAAAATAAATAAATAATAATAATAATCAATAATAAAATAATCAGGAACTAAAAATCAAGTTTAAATTTAAAAAAAAAAAAAAAATTAAAGAAAAACCGAAAATTACGTAATTACTATCATTAATACTACGATTAATTATTATTATCATCATCATTATTATCATTAATTTTAAAAAAACAAAAATTTACGGTCGGATTACCCACGAAATTTATTTTATTTACCTTTCCTTCTCTCCCCATTTCCCTGTACTCTCATTCCCCTGCACTCCCATTTCCCTTCACGCCCATTTCCCTACATTCCCATTTCCCTGCATTCCCATTTCCCTTCACGCCCATTTCCCTGCATTCCCATTTCCCTTCACGCCCATTTCCCTGCATTCCCATTTCCCTTCACGCCCATTTCCCTGCATTCCCATTTCCCTGCATTCCCATTTCCCTGCATTCCAATTTCCCTGCATTCCCATTTCCCTGCGCGCCCATTTCCCTGCAATTCCATTTCCCTGCACTCTAATTTCCCTGTCCCCTCTTTACTCATGCCTCCTCTTAAGCGCGGCTAAAGATACAAACAAAAAAAATTTTTTTTTTTTTAATTTTTAACGTATCGAAATGATTTTAATCGAGTTATCGATCGATCGATCGATCGACTTAATTTTTTTTTAAATAATGTCTGAAGTACAAATAAGAGAATAGAGAGAGAGAGAGGGGTTATATAAACTTTAAAATAAAATGATAACGTCTCCCCTTATCATCATCATCGTTTTAATTTCGTTGCTCCATTACCTTTTTTTTGTACGGTGTGGCATAATAAGAAAGTAAAATTGCTTAGAATGAGCAGAGAAAGGGGGGGATGGGAGAGTTGCGGTGGGTAGTCGGGGACGGGGGGTAGGACGGGGGGAAATGGGGTAACCGTGCGTCTTAGTATTATCATCATCATCATCATTATTTACCTTAAGGTCGTTAAGTATTTACAAATTCACTCTCACATCTCTCTCTCTCTCTCTCTCTCTCTCTCTCTCTAAGAAAAAACTTTTTTTCTTTTTTTTATCAAATACTTAAAGTTTACACAATTTATTTACTTACCACCTTTTCTCTCTCCCTCTTTTTTTTCTCTTTTATTTTTTTTTTCTTATTTTATTTCGTGTAAAAACATTTTATCCATATCTTCGTGTCTTCTTCTTCTTCTTTTATACTTTATTTAATTTTTTTTCTTTTCCTTCTCCTCTTCCTCTTCCTCCTCCTCTTTCTTTCTTCTTTTCCCTTTCCCGACTAACTACCAGATCTTCAGACAAATTTTTACGTGTATTCCTTTGTTCGATAAAAAAAAAAAAAATCTGAAAACAAAAGAAACGTAATGTACAAAACGATTTATATATTTATTTATTTTTATTGTCATATCTTGTTATTATCATTATTATTATTATTATTATTATTATTGAAATAAGGTCGATAACCTTACGTGTCTCATAATAGGAAAGAAAAAAAAACACCGATAAGACAACTTTATTTATGAAGGAAAAAAAAAAAAAAAAGAAAAACCCATACGACGACAACTTTCTATAAAATATGATCGGCGTTACTAGTTTTTTTTTTTTACTACTGCCACGTCTTTTTTTTCTTTAATAATAATAATAATAAGAGTAACAATAATTGTAATAATCACTAATCATGTGTTTTGTTATTGTTATTATTATCAACATCATTAACATTAACATTAACATTATCGTTATTGTTGGCGGTTTATTTAAGTGGTGACAAAGCGAGGGAATTGGGAGGAAGAGAAGGAGGAGGAGGGGAGAGGGGAGGAGGAGGGGAGGGGTAATCGAGTCGCGTGTAATTAAAACTGTTATTATTAATTAATAAAAATTAAAAACCATTCATTCCATTTTCTTTATTTATTTATTTATTTAAAAAAAAAAACGAAAAGTAATCAAATAATAATAATAATAATAATAATAATAACGATTTCTTTAAAAAAAAAAAAAACAATTAACTAGGGTCGTGGGAAAATAATTAGCAATAATAATAATAATAATAATAATAATAATAATCATCATCATCATCATCAATATAAATTATGTTGACACCGAGCACGATATTTATAAGATTTACTGTGTGTGTGTGTGACACTGTTCGAAACGGATTTCATAGAGTAAACAAACAAACATACAAACAAACAAACATTCGACAAAAACAAACGTATTTTAATAATATTGTTACTATTC